TGTTTCAATGAATATCTTAGATTGGTTTAAATTGAACAAATATGCATTCTATGGTTGAATTAATTGTTCTGTGAAGCCATCTAAATGGAAAACTTTTTTAGAATACGGCGTGATACATGAAGCGTAATTAGGCCATTATAGCATTTAGGTCAAATTTTTTGTCTATTGTAAATTTAGTCGTCGGCTCCAGAGAGTTTGGGGTCAGTCAGTCCCTTTTTTTAATACATAATGGATTATAATTTCCTATGACAAACTAAAACATTATAATTATAATCATGGGAACCACCTGCAAAATTGGAATAGTTTATAACTTGCCGTCTCGATTGTCGAAATTTCCATTGTCATAATGCTCAAAACTTAATAACAAGGTGATCATATCGGGTGATTGATCATATGTTTATTTGAATAGCTCAGAGTTATCAAATAACACTAGTACAGTTGTTCCTCTTTCATTTCTATAGTTCCAATTGTATCTATTTAATTTTTAACGTTTACACTAATGCTAACTGAAAACATGCCTAGGCTAGCTTTGTTTTTGGGACGTATGGGCAAATTTTACCTCAAGTACTTTTGAAAGCGTCTTTAATCCGAAGCATAAAAGTCTTCTCTCAATTATGAATTTAATTTTTATGCAAGTCATCTCCTGGTTCTATCTATTTTAAAAGCATCGTCGTATAAAGAGCACAAAACGTAGATCAAATAAATAGGAATATTTTTTTATCTTTAAACAATATAATAAAAAAGTCAGTTTTCCCTCAAAACTTATGTAAAATTAATGAAGTAATATTGTCCTGAAGTCACGAGGTGTGCTGTTTGGAACATAAAAATTATTTTTAATTTATTACCATGTTATTTCATGGTGTTGGTGACCTTCTATGTATGACTTTTCATAGCTAATTATGCTTTTGTATGAGTATGGGGAGCGAATGCAATCACAAAAGTCTAATCTCTACGTAGTTGCTTCCACTGAAAGGTAAGACTAATAAGCCTTGACTATACTCAGAAACCTCCATGACAGATTTTCCAAGTCGGAAAGATATCACGATGACAAAGAGAAGGAAGACGTGTAGCAGACGAAACGTTAATAGATAATCATGATAACGGCAAACGTGATTACTTATCACACCCATCAAACATAATTTGAATAAAAATTAATCGTTGATTATCTGAGCAGTGCTCTGCACGCACGACCGTACACTCCAGAATGTTCGGGCGAGCAATTTATCGTGTGTAGCTGTGGGCACTACAAGATTCACTAGGGATCATAAACTGCCGATTGACGTTTTTATGCCTTTGATTGTTATTGGCTTATAAATACATACATTATATATATATATATATATATATATATGAAAGGTTTATCCAGAATTTTGTTTTTAGTTGACGAATTAACCCCGAGAATTAAATTAATCTGATAAAAGTTAAGACGGGATTGAAGAGCCCTGTTAATGAGATCCAAACTTGAGTGAGGTTTTACAAAAATAGCAATATCTAGAAGGAATCCGAAAAAATTAACGGCTGTACGAATTTAAAAGAAAGGGAAGATTAAGTTATTTGAAATAAAAGGTATTGATGCCAAGTCAAATGTCACTTGTCAATAAAATCTGTAAATACCAAGGATGAGCCCAAAGTTTCAATAATAATTGAAAAGGAAAAATAACCTACTAGCATAAACGAAGAAGGCAATTTTGAAATTGCTAGGCAAGATTCACCATCTATATCAATGATCTCTATTTGTTCAAGGTGGCAATATTAAACATTAACTCATGATTTTAACATTCAGTCTGAAATATTATAAGCGTGTTGAAGGATATTTCCACATAATCTTTTGAAGAACTTTAAAGTTTGGCAATAAATCTTAGATTCCGTACGAAATATTGCGAAATATTGAACATATATAGGAACTTAGAATGGTGTACTTTTGGTAAAAGAAGCACAAGTTCACCAGACGGATAGTATATGTCGAATGATCTAATAATATTTAGGACAGTACGAGAAAAGATAAATAACATAATCATTCAGGGGATTGCAAAATGATATTTAAATAAATTGTGCTTGTCTATAGCTAAAAGCATAAAAACAGTCCATTAAAATATATTTATTTAATTTTAATTCTGTGCAAATAAAAGTACATGCAAGAATTAATCAAAGATCGAGGCTTGTTTAAAAAGTTATGAGCCTTGCAGACATTTATGAAGTTATTTGGTCTTGGTAGTTTCTTTTGCTTATGGTTTGATGGAGTCTGCCACCGCAGTTTGTGCTGATTGCGATGCAAGAAATCCTCAATGGGCTTCCATAAATCGGGGTGTTTTTATATGCGATGAATGCAATTCCATTCATAGACAACTCGGTCGTCATGTCAGTCATGTATGATTTACATATATTGTTCTTACTATTTGTTAGACAAAGCATTTATATAAATCTTTATGGCGTCCATCACAATTATTTATGGTGCAATATCTAGCTCTTGCCGGTGCAAATAGGTTTTGGGAACATGTTCTTCTTGAGCCTCTACTTAGCAAGATAAATGATTCTTCAAAGAGTCCATCTATGGCAGACAAGAAACCACTACCTGATTCTCCGCTTCACCCAACAAAAGCTGATTTTATTCGCAAGAAATATTTATTCCACGGATTTTTTAAACTTCCAATTGTTATTCATCCTGATGATCTTAATCAACAATTGCATGCCAGTGTTCGGACTGCAGTTTTAGATACCAGTCTTTATCTTCTTGCCCTGGTATGTCTCTTTCCGCAAAATATTTATATATTGTACACGTTTTTAAGTTTAATTTGATTGTCTCTTTTAGGGAGCTGATCCCAATTACATTCACCCGGTGAAAGGTACTTCTCCAGTTCATGTCGCTTGTCAGTACGAACAAATCTCTCAATTGGAATTGCTGATTGCCTATGGTGGTGACGTTTGTCTTCGATCCAGCAAGGGAATTTCTCCTCTCGAGGTAATTTTTTACCTACTTATTGATAAATTTGTATCATTCGTTTTTATTTCAGTTTATTCTTTGAAATACTTATTAATTCCGTAATAAGATATTTATTCCCTAGATGTGAGAATTAACTCGTATGCAATCGCTCTTTAATTTTCAAATTTTTGTGCTGTTCTGCTTATAATAGCAATAATATTTTTTAATAAGGCAACTACTCCCTGATTTGGACAAATGGGTTTATTTTGAAATATCAACTAATATTAGACAGCGCTTAAGATGTCTGTCATTCGTGTTTCAACAATATTTTCCATTTAGGTTGACAAAATAGGTATGACTTGTTGGCTTTTATTAATTTTCACAATTTCCACCTTGTAATCCATGTCATAACTCATATTTACAAGAATGAAATTTTTTAATCTTTCTTATTTTCTTCGAGTTCTAAACAACAAAACAAAACGGCCATTGTTTAGCAATAGCTCCTACTTTTTCGCTTTTCATTTAAATGGTAGCGGGTTCGTCCGTAGTTGATAATTTAGATGGCCATACTGCTAATGCCCCTAACCCTAGCCCAGTCCTCATAGTCATTGCTCATTCACTCTTCTGATCGCGTTGTGCTTTTCAAATTCCTTGCCTATTAGATCAACCCCCTTTTGTTTATTTCAGCAACTGTTCTTTGAGTAAATACAAAATCAATTCTGATTCTCTCGAGTAGACTAAAGATGAGGCTTTAAATATTGACTTCGAGAATTGTAAGAGATTAAAAAAGTAGCAGATTGCGCGATGTATATTTGCCCCAGGGCAATTGCTCTTCGATTGCCACAAAAATGTTCACCTTCTTCCCTAAAAGCAATCAATGCTTATTCGAAACTGCAACAACTTGAATGGCCAGTTTAATTTCAGGCCTTGTGGTGCAGATTTTTTGGCATCATAGAGTGGTTATCTCCATTCCTTTTTTTCGTATACCCTTAATTGCCTTCCTAATAGCCAAACGATCCCTCGAGTCCAACAAATACACGGAATTAAGCAGAAGTTCCTATGCTACTCAAAATTATGTTAGGAAATAATTCTCAACTTGGTGCTATTCAACAAATTTGCAAAATTTGATGAATGGCAATGAAATGCCAACTTTATTTTTCTTGCAAGAGAATGAATCAGTTTTATCCAATGCTTCTGTTTTTTGGGGTGTGGGGGGGGGGCTAGTACTGCTCTCTGACCCTTAGATGGGTTTGAATTTCGCAAACATTTAAAATGCAGTCCCGTATTTAGATCTGTATCGGAATATAATTCCTGTTTCCCCCTAGCTGAACTCTTTTTGCCTTCCATACCAGCTTCATCATTCAGGTCTCGGGTAAAATCGAACAATAGGCATGAAGTGAATGATGTGTTGCTTTATGGATTACTGTTGTCGTGTACTCTAAGAATAGTTGTTAAAATCACGATCCTCTTCCGGACTGTAGTGAAGTTCACAGATCTGTAAAGCAAGGTAGTCTGGCACAATTTACTAATTGATATTTCTAATTATATCCAGGATTCGGGTTCAGTTGCTTCGTAAATTGCTGCACTGGCTTCGAGAAGCTTTCCAAGGCGAAACACCATAGCTTCTCTCCTTGGATTATTCATTTCCTGAAATCTTGCCGCTGTCGATGTGCTTTAGAGGGCATTTTATGCAAAAAATTAGAAATAAGCGAACTATTACAAAATGTTTTGCAGAATAGCAGTAGAAAGGAGAACGAGAGGGGGGGAGAGAGTTGACAAATTTGGAAATGTTAGTACTTTGCGTAACAATATCCAGTTTTACTGTATAGGCGTATTCTTTCTTTCGGATTAACAATGTAATAAATAAGCGTTACTGTCGATATTAAAAATTTGTACCGTCAAAGGAAAATGCATTTAGTAATTCACATGTTTTCATTTTATTTCAGTCAGGATGCCTTTACTCCACTTCTTTTTTTTTCAACAGAGAAAAATGTTCCATCAACATTTTTGGAAACACATTCAAATAGTTGAATCGTAGTTCTTTCACTGGTTTAGTAGCTTTCTTCCATCATAATCAAAATTTCTTGTAGAAGTTTTTTTTTATTTCTCGTTTGCTAATTTTGCCATCTTTGGTCGAGGGTCTACATTTTCTGCATGCCCTCTCCAAGGTTTCGTGATCTTATCAAATGCAACCTCTTACTCCTCTCTCTTCCTTTGCGCTCCTGTGTTACCGTGATGTTTTACCTCATCTGCTCTCTCACTCTTATTCTCGCTTATCCGCCGGGGGCGTTTGTTTATGATGTGAAATCTGATAGTCGATGGTTGGCACTTTTGGAGACCATTCGAATATTTTTGGGAAAATGGTGCTTGGGGTCGACGCGGTATATATATAGACAGATAGGTTTATGAATGGCATTAGCAGCATTGAAATTGATATTACTTAGAGGTTGAACTCATACTCCTAGTGCAGAAAAGTGTCCACCACCTAAAGGGTTAAAACAAAGAGCTCGATACAAACTGGTGTCAATTTAATCCTGGGTAAGGGGAGATAGATCATTCCTAATGTACCAATAATTGATAGGATTGAGGTCAAATCAATAGGGGAAATTAGACGAACGAGCTTATTAGAAAGGTAGGTGGTACGCTTCGAACTCATCCCATGAGACGATGAGACAAGCAATTTGAGCCATGACTCTATCACAGCTATCCTATTTAAAGGTGCCAATTTGCGTGAATTGATGTCTAAAATTTTAACTCTTTGCATATATATATATATATATATATATATATATACAAAGAGATAAAATTTTA